ACACCGAAACGTTCACACTATATTATTATAAATGCATAGTTAAACCTACATATCATTAGTACCAACCTAGCTAATATTAAATAGTAAATATTATTATACCGTGTATTATTTATTTTTTTTCTTTTTATAAAATTCCAATATACTTACTATTTTTGTTATTTGACATTTGAATAACAAAATTCAACTCAAATGATACAATTGTATAATTAAATAATAGTAAGAATACACAAAAATCCATGTACAACATTTATCAACAATCGTAAAACGTTCACCTCAATTACAGACAATAATAATATAATATTGAGCAAAACTCCAAAAACAATATTTCATTATGACAACAACGTGAGTACCAATTAATAAAATATAATGTGATGTGTTAAATGAATGTGATATTTATTATGTCTAACATCCACGTAGATCCAAATTTATGATTTTAATGTTTTCTTCTATAGTCCCTCTATATGTTACGTCATAATCCACCAATATTAAACATTTAATTTCAAATGACATTTTCTATTTTTTTTTTTTTTTAATCGTGCCTAAAAAACTAATGTTTTTCCATAAATTACAATCTCCATCCATCATTTTGAATACTGACAACCGCATATATTATTATCAGAAACATTATATAAATAGAAATATTGTTTCTCTGCATAATAAGTTATATATATAAAGGACATGTTTATAACTATTGTAAAAAAAAAAAAAACAAATAGAGAAATCGGCAACAAAGTGTTTCATTGAAAATGATTTTAAATGTCGATAAGCCTTTACGTGTAAAGAAAAGCACACTCTGCGAGCGTGCTAGTATTTTTTTATTTTTTTTTTTACCAACTATTTTCTTTATACACAAGTTATTATTTATTGTTTGTGTCTAGTATGAAATATAAATAATAACTAAAACGTCATATTTCTATAGTGAAATTCACTATAAATTGTTCGAGTTTAAAATATAATAGAGTTTATATAATAAAATTGTAAGCACTTCTACAATAATACATGAAAAAAAATACTACAGACACGAGTCAATCATAAAGTGTTCGTATAACAAAATACTAAAATATGTAAAAACTTATTTATTAATGACATTTATCACATTCTGCAATAAAGCTGACCATACACAGGAATATGTAAATTTATTGAAAGAAAATCATTGGATAATAATATTTTGTTATATTTTTTAAAAGATCAACACAATTCTAAGTAAACGTCGCAGCATTAAATTAACAAGTTATCACATCATATAAATTATGAGCGTGCAGCAAATGTAAAACAACGGGAAAAATCTAGTTATCAATCATGCCTGAGTAGAAACGATTTTTTCAGATAAATACAAGTTTGTATTTTACATACGAGATACCCTTTTTTAATTTTTAATAGCAGACTGATTTAAAAATTTTTGTTTATGGATTATGTAACTACATATTGTATGTCAAAATTCTCAGAAGCGAGACACGAACTTCATATTATTTATTTTAATTCATTAAAAGCTTTATTTATCTACTTATCTCAAATATCTAAAATATCATAATGCTAAAAAAATGTATTTATTTAGTAGTAATCATCAATGAATTTATGACGATATTATCAATTGAAATAAAACTATACGACATACGTATTGCTCTTATCAGTAATTAAAATATACTGTGTTATTCTCAAGCTGTGTGTAGGTACACTTTATGTCCTACCAAATAGGATAGAAATCTTATTTATTATACAGTACACGTACCACTAATCATATTATAATATTTTAATATAATTTACGAATAGATTCCAATTGGTACTAGAAATATAAATGTACGACACACACTTTTGCAATATTATGTTTATATATATACGCGATCAATTTTCAAGTGGCAATCGTCCATGGTTTTTAGTAAATTAAAAACCCGTTTCGCCCGTATGTACCTTCATTATCCTGCAGGTAAATAATATCTATGTAATATATGTTTCGATCCTCGCCACGTACATTAAAACAATAATCATTAGAACAGTCACGACCCACGTGCAAATAAATAAAATTATACAAAAAAAAAATCAAAACCCAACAAAAACCGTCATAATAATATTATTACTGCACGTGGGGGATACCCGCCACCAAATGGCATCGGTGAGTATCGTACGTGGGCAATAATATAAGTACACAGAATTATAATAACGTTTATGCTAAACACCATCTCGAAGACACTCAAGATAATATATAATTGTGAAAAAAGAGTAGTGTGGTATTTCGATGTATAAATGCACATTATCATTATATTAAACGAATATAACAGCGTGTAACAGCAGCGTAGGCCGAAAAATCCTTGCCGATCTCCGGTGACGGCCCACGCCCGTAAAATCGCGTTACCGACGAGGTCATCAAACCCAGGAGACGCCGACGAAGGTGCGCGTTTCGACTTTGGTTCTTTGTAAATTTGCACGAAAATAAAATTATGTTTAATATTTGTTTTATTTTGTTGAATTATTATAATCGTTTAGATCTCGAGAGATTTGCACAGGAATTGTCTGCAATATAGAAACCGACATAACACTCGGAGCAAGGCAAACCGATACATGTACAAATCGGTAACCACATCAGCTTGCTTGATCATTCATATACTCTCTACTTTAAATTTTTCACCAACCGTATAGTAATGTTTTTTTTTTTTTTTTTATTATCAACCTTGTTGCATGTTATCATATTATCGTAATCATGATTCAGTTGCAGTTCAGTTTTCGTCTTCTTCACCCCACCCGAATCAACGGTAATAAACCGTTCAATAATATTACGAACGCCCACGCATTACGACCCGGTCGAATTAAAAATGTTTTTACGATTTCCTTATAGGTTTTTATTTTAATGTTTAGGTGACAAAACTCATGTCGGCACAATAAACACATCCAATTTTTGGCGTTTAAGAAATTCTATATAATCGTATTTAGATTCGTTTAACAAAAACGAGAATCTAAATTAAATTCTCTATTCTGCATCAGGTAGATGTATGAACTACATAATAATTATGGATTTTTCCAAGAAAGAGATTACTTGAAGAAAAGTTATATTGACGATCGAAAACTATTTGAATACGAATTATCAATAAACAAAATAAATATGAACTCTTTTAACACGATATTCACATAGGTTTGAACTTAGCGATGTAAAATCAGGATTCCTAAACAAGTAGTTGAGTAACAATGGCTATTAGAACGAACCTATTATGTATGACTATTGCCTACCTACGGTGTTTACTACAAGTAATGAGACGATGTGAAATAGGTACATTCCAACGGGTTATTATATGTACTGGACTATAGGCAAACGTTAGACGACTATATGCGTCATTAAATTATATGTATATAACGAAAGATTTTAAAGTTAAAACGAAATAGTTCACAGGAAATTGATGACTAAAGATTACTTCGGTAAGTATACATTTTTTTTTTTTTTAACGACCCGTAATTTCATCTACAAATCAGCAACTTCATTATTCTTCCACGTTATTAAATGCCACCGAACACCACCGATGGCCGATTTATCTATACATAATAGTAAATCGTGTTAATACACATCTATATAGGTGTATGAACTAATAAAGATTCGATGCATAGTGTATATACAATCAGTTCTGTTTGATAATCATTGACCTTCCTTTGTGTTATTAATTAAAATGGATTGTATACAAAGATCACTGTAATTCTAAAACTATATAGAACTTATTCATTTTAAAAATGCACAAATTCGTCCTTGATGAACGTTTTGTGAAACATGTACACTCTATAATGATATCGTGTGTAAAAATATATTATTAAGGGCTGTCATCTTGTCAAAAAAAAAAAAAAAAAAACTAAATAATATACAATTAGTAGGATAGCGAATCTAAATAATTTAAATAATACGGCCAATACGGGATCGATGAAAAAAATGTTCTATCCACGAAATAGAAATATATGTATAAATAAATAAAATTTAAAATTTCATATCATAGTTATTCTTAACATATTTTACATTTTAAATTATCAGACTATGCAAATCATGTCCCGAAACTCCAATTTCAGAACGTTCATATCAATTCAAAGATCTTTTTGGCTGGAAAAATAAAAACCATAATGCAAACACTATATAATTATACGACAGATTAAATACGTTACTGTGTCGAAAGTATATAACTAGGAAGGAAGATACCAGAGATAAAACGATACGTATATAATATGGCGTATTAAGATATATTAAATATATGCGTTTGTTTGTGATTGACGGAAAGATAAAATTTGTATGAAACATTATGCAAGTAAATACACAAAAAATAGTGTTGGGTCAGTGCACAAGCGTGTTAAAAAAATTCACAAAGCACATAGTGCACAAATAAAATAACCTTATCCAGCGTAATAACTTTTTTATGCATCGTATCTTGTACTATTAATTTGCTACTGTAGATTTTAGTTGTAGCAATTTAATATTATATCAATGTAATAATATTTAATAATGACATTTAAAAAAGCCAGGTGTAGCAGTAGTGCATTTACAAGGTTGCAGAGATCACGGTATCAACCTCCAGAGCCTTTTTTATTTTTATGTTTTAATAATTTATCTGACAAATAACTATAATACTAACCAAACTGCAATTACTTATGGTTAACGTCCAGTATAATATATCATGAGTTTATGACCTAAAATCCACTTAAATTTAAACTTAAATATATTTATTCTAGTTCCCGCAAATATGCTCTAATCAAATCAAATTATGTTTTTAAAATTTAAATTAATCAAACATATGTTAAAAAATGTATTATTAATTTAAAACATACTATAATCAATAATAACTAATATGTTATATAAAAATGTAATCAAAACAAATAGATTGTTAATAAAATCTATACCTTTAATTTTGATTGCTCGAGTAAATTATGACTCCAACGATCAAAAAGGTATTTTTTTAAATGTCCTTTTTTAAAAAAAATTTAAAAAAGTAACCTTCAGGGTTAAAAACAAAAAATGTAATATTACTTCTACTACTTACGAAAGGTGCTCAACAGTTTAACAGTGTGGTTTACAATGTATTTAACTAAAATAAAAAAAATAAGTATCAGTCACACACATCTTAACCCTAGTTATGAATGTTATAATTATATATTTAAATATGTATGAAAAATGTATTTATGGTTTTTTTTTGTTTTTTTTTTTTTAACTTAATTAACAAGATTTTTACATTAAAATAAAAGAGCTTAGCACTGCATTTTATAGGGATTAAAACAAAAAATGTAAATGCTATTATGACCTCGGTTGCCAAAATAGGAACGAACTCCTATCAAATGACACTGACAACTTTTATTGACGACGAGTAATACATAATACATTGCGCACAAATTCATTATTTTTCTCATCATTTATTCCTTATATTAATTTTATTGTTACAACACACTATTTTTATTCATTTTTAAATTTTAAATTTTTATGTTATTATACCTATATTATGTAATATATACACACTAAAATTATTAAACTTATAATAACTCTGTAGCATTTTACTGAATAATTATTATTTTAATTATCAATTAAATAATGGTAAAAGTAAATTTTAAATTTATCTTAAAGTACAAAACAAGGGTGGATTTTGTTTAAATCGTCACTAATCAACGGTCTACGTTTCCGTGAAACGCTTAGATACACGACACACATAATAATATATTATAATTACTATAATATATTTTAATATTATGGTGACGTGCTTGTATATTAAATCTGTCGTAATGTCAGACGTAAACTGTTATTTCGTTCTTTTTATATATTTTTATCTCTCCCAACTTCACAACGCATGCTCGGTGTACCTATTATATTTCATTCTGTGTATGTATAACGTACCATTTTTCTCAGATTCCATCGCATCAGACGGTGCATAACTTACGAGGACGAAGACGACAATACTGTACCTACGACGTACAACGCAATAATACAAATAATAATAATAATAATAATAATAATAATACAACGTCTCTCGGACAACATCGTATATTTACCCGGGCGTGTGTGTATAACAACAACCTTGCAGGTGCTTCGGTCGGGGGTGCGTGCAACATGCAGCCGAGTGCAAGACGCATACAAATTGGACGTGTCTGGTGCCCGTTTGTTTATATGTATCGTTTTTATTTTTCCCCCCGATTTCAATCGATATAAATCCTGAGACATCAACGCTATCGACGACGGCGCTGCGATAATTTATTAGCACGTTTTGTACTCGTAGTCGCAACAGATCAAGTGACGAAAGGACAAATATAAAAAAATAGCATACACATAGTCTTATGTAATAACAATTTTATATTATACAGCTACAATTTGTGTTGGTTTGTTTGCGCGTACTCATTGCTGTCGTGTCGTCGTCGCTGCCTTCGTTGTTAGATAAAAGGATGAAATAAACATTTTCGGATTTCCGCAAATTTCCCTCATGGGCACAACTAAGAAAGCAGTGAAAACATTAATCGTCTACACTGTATAGGTTTAATGTAATGTATATCTGTATATATTATACACGTACATACTAACTGCAGTTGAATAACGCGCGAGGTACTGATCCGTGATGCGTGTATATGTTTATATAAAATCATCGCTGCCGTGTTTCACGACAATAAAACACTCGTCTGTACGAATTACATACATAATATGTTTTCTTTACTTTCCGATGGAAAATAAATCGAACTGCAAATAAACTCGTGGATTTCCTTTTATGTAATTGTGTTTTTCCTTCTCTCGCCCAGTTACGCAACTATATAGGTACATACGTGCAGCTCTGCAAACTGTCTATTATAAATTATAACCTATAGCGACAGAGCCAAAGCCATTTTACCGAAATCCAATACCTAATGAAAAATGTGAGATAAAATCTGTACACTCTCTCCAATTTGTGTACGGTAACGAGAACACATTACTATAAATTATTCTGACCGACTTTAAATGATATTATTACCCGAACACCGGGTTGTACCTATATACAACAATCTCGTAACACACACATTACTAACCACCTTAATTTAATACACTTTAAGTCATAATAATGCGTTTATTTTTATACGATCGCAACGCATGGTGTCTTTCCATTGTGTGTACTTTTTTACGTTTATTTAATATAGGTATACGTAATTCGTGTACTCGCGCAAATTCGTTTATCTCGAGGATTTTTGAACAGTCGACCAATTATTAATGTGACAACTAGTTGCGACGCCATCTGCGAGTAGTGTATAGTAATACAATACGATTTGTCCTTACAAGGAATTGCTCCTAATCGACGGCACACATTCGGTAAAAGTGAACGTTTAAAAAATGTAGTTGACCCTCTGAAAATCGAACATTTACTCGAAATGATTGAATTCTATTCGTAGAAAACCACCAACAACCATAACTTTTTTGACTGTATTAACTGCCTATAATATGTAGTTTTTCTGAATTATTAAAGTACTTTTGCTAAGAATAATAAATCTAAGAAATGATCTTAGAAAAATATATAATAAATGAAATATTAGATCTAGTATCTGTTTTATAAGTACCTACTTGAATCGTTTTTATTAATCATTAAAATGCTTAAATAACCATATCACAAAATCCGTTATCGTAGATCTATTATTCTTAGTAGGTACACAAAGTAAAGTGAGTTAAAAATTACTATTTATTTGATAGTTTCAATTTAAAAAACAGAAAATTTGTGTCTCTATAGAACAGTTCTTAAAATATAGTAGAATAATTAATCTCAAGAATTGGAAAATATGGTAAGTAAGAATATTTAAAAATTATTCCAAAAATCATATTTTGAATAAATGCATTGTTGAAAAAAAGTGAAACTATACGTATACTTATAAGACGATCGAGCAAACTTCATGTACAGAGTATATATTTTTTTATAGTACCGATAACTAAAGACTGACGTTCTGGCAACGATGGCACTTTGTTTCATTAAGCAGATATCATATTATACAATTTAATATTATTATATTATGTTACTACAGTTTGCCGGTTTACAGAATAATTCCGAGTATTCTAAATCCAAATTATTACTGTATCCGTCTGATATTGACAGCATTCCAACTCGTCAAAAACTGCGGGACGCTTATTATGTACAAATCAAAAACGTGCATTTCAAAAAGTATAGGCACCATAATATATTATTGTATAATATTTGTCTATTATTTGCAAGACCTAAAACATAATAATGAGTCGTGTGATATAAAATAGGATCAACATTCAACGTCTAACCTTTATTATTCAAGTCTGACTACGACAATGACACCAAGTACTCCTGCAGGCCGACTAATGTATGATAATAATTTAATAAAATAATAATAATAACTGGCACACGCGGCGAGGAATAACGCTTGTGAGCGCCCGTTGTAGTTTACGGTATTCCAATCAAAGGTTGTTGTGCGGCGACGGCGAAATCTAATAAGAACCCCGAAACAAAAACCATACACTCGTTCATCCTGGAGCTGTTCAGTGTACTTATAAAAGGACATAAAAGAATTTTTCTTTCTAATCACGTGTGTCAGGCGCAGGTCGTGCACGCGGCGTATGGGTCGACGGCTCGAGTCGTCTTCGTCGTATATAACGAGTGAGTACAGCGTATTATTACAATAATATTATTATACACGCGCGCTCGAGCACAATGAGCCGTGTCACTTATAATGTATCTACTAGTCGCCGCAAGCGTCTAATCACCCCTATGGTCGGCCAGAAGAGAAGGGGAAGAGTTGGCGGAGAAACGCAATAATAATATTCTCATTTCGGTTTTGTGTGCCGAAACAATAGACCGTCGATTAATGAGATCGATAATATTAATAATAATAATCGACCTTCCCAGCCCTTACCAAGACTTATACGGTGTTCGTTCACAGAATATTATATTGGTACTTATATAATATCATAAGTCCGTTTAACACTTCATTGTACATAAATATGTAGCGCGTGCTCGCGAATATACCTATGTTTTTTTCGGCATGTATTCGATGGTGTTTATTAACACTTATTTAACACAAACTAGCCACTTTTCTTTTTTATATTATTATCAAACATATTAGTATACGTTGAATATTGAATGATGCATACAGCTCAATTGACTGAAATTACAAAGTCGAAAACTTTAAACTAATAGTATTTCTAAAAAACCAATTCATCAACTAAACATTATCCACATTAATAATAAACATGATAAAAAAAATAATATTATTAGAAAAGCTTCTAGTTTTTTATAGATAATTTGATTTCATACACAAATACATATTTACTATTTAATTCAATAAAAATTAATCCATCGAAAAAAAAATATATGTATTAATAATTATAGATACAATTTAAATAATAATTGTGAACTTTAACAATTTATAATTGAATAGTCAGTAGAAAAACGTCTTCCATTTCGATTTTTTTATTGTGGCCGAATTTTTATTTATACGCCATACTAAATGAGTTTCGTATGTTCAATGAATCATACAACATATTTAATATTATTACAATTATACGTAAAATATAAATATAATTATTTACCTATACCCTAGGCAAGTGCGATTGAATATTGTAATCAGATTTTTGTTTTTTTACCCGAACAGACTATTTTTTTTCAATTCAATCTTCTGCTCTTGTTCCATGCCATGCGTTTAAAAATGCAACAACTACATACACATTATACAAACAATAGTAATTTATATATATATAGCTACCAATGACTATACCACCAACACTTCCTATATTTTATATTTTTATTATTATTATTATTTTATAAAAACGTGTCTATGTGATATTTTCTCCTGATCGCGGCAGAACAATGGCTGACGAAGATGATGTTGATGATGACGAGGTAAGTTATATCCTTGGCGTTTTGTATATACGCAACACATCACTGCGGACTTCCTACAGATTTCGCACGGATTACTGCGCCCGAAGAAGAAAAAAGCCCAATAAAAAATCAATCTGTTCGTCAAAGCTGAACACAATCCAGAATCATATATAAATATTTATATATAGGTATAGTCTATACAATCAACTAGCGCCGTCGCATAAAAGGGTTGACCATGAGACCGGTGGCTA